GGGGGGGGGGGGGAAGGCGTCCTCGGCACGAAGTGGAATACGGAGGTTAACATGCGTCTAGACGATGCAAAGCAACTCAAACCACCCTCTCGACTCGGCTATAGACGCACTTTGGTTTTGCAAACGCCTTTCAGGCGACCCGGCACGGTCGGAAAACGAGAGATATAAATCGAAAATCCAGCTGATGTCTTTTTCTCTTGAGAAAAATAAATCGAAATGCGAAAATTGAGAGAAGTATATCGTCTCGATTCACCGATTTCTCTGAGTGAGGGAGGTGAGCTGCATTAAAAAAAAAAATATAAATAAAAATCAACCAGCAATTATCAGTGATGGGGGGGGGGGGGGAAGTTAGCCTCTTTTAGCTCACATGCAAAAAACATACACTTACGTGATATTCTTACATTTAGATTGAGTTTACATTTAACGATTAAAAGCCAAGGGGAAGTCCGAAAGATCATTTTTCCCGATTTCATAGGGTAGCCCATGACAAAAAGATTTACATGGTGATGACTTACATTTCTAGCAGACCTATGAAAGACGTATATCACTTTGTGAAATACGTTTAATAGTAGGGCCCAGATTTGAGTGCTTATAAAGGACAGGAATCAATGAAAAATGAATCACGCCAGAAGACTAAGAACTGCTGCAATAGATGCATACACCGTCCATGTCAATTACATGATTTAAAATGGTCGACGCGTAAGTAAACAACGCATTATGGACACTGCAGGCATACATCTCATCAGAGGGGGACACCTCAGACACGTTTGGATCCAGATTATACGTACTTCTCGTAGTTAAAACACAACACCATCTGGTTTTCATCTGGTTTTTTTTACCGCCATAAATGAATTTCTTGCGTGAAACTCATTCTCACAGCACTGATGAGGTACATACGACCCACCAACTCACCAGTTTCGCGGGATCAATCTCTCGCAAATATGAATCACAAACAAGGAAGATGGCCCGCTCCACCGAAAATTCGAAAGGAGAAGGTTCAGAAGGAGTTTCATGGTGCAAGGGGCGAAAAGGATTTCTCTACCCCTTTCATGTGAAGTAGACCTTATTAATTAATATTCCTTACTAGACCATCTCCTTCATACGAGGTATTTTTCACTTTCCCCCCATGTGTTTCACACAAAAAGGGCGTGGAAGGATAGAATCAAGGCAACTAAGTTGATTGATTGCTCGACTGTCAGGATTTGCGCCAGAGGCACACAAACGCAATTTTTTCTCGTATTTTAACATTCCCACATTGGCAAAAATTCATTGAAGCAAATGGAGACTTGGCTCCTGTATGGCTATAAAAAGTTTTTTTTTTTTTAATCTGGAAGTCACTTTGAATGGCTTGAAAAAGGCAAACCAGAACACCCATCTCGCTAAAATTGGGTTAAACACTCTCATAATTTCTTCAAGTGGTATTAACTTTTCACTGCTCCAACTTTAGCAATTACCAGTCACATGAAGAGTTGAAATACCGAAAGAAGCCATGAACACCCTGGTTCCAGTTAGCCACTTTGTATGCGAGTCTTCCCATTTTATCTTGCACAGCCAAACAAGTAAGCGAACAGCCTGCGGAGCATCGCTTGTACGACTTGTTTCCTGGGTTTCAAAACGCCAAACTAGCGAAGTGGAATTTTAAAGCAAATCTAGGCAAGCATGGAAAATTATTGTTGCCAATTTATGATGGTACGATTACTAGTTTACCCGTAGAAAGAATTCAGTGGTCTAATCCCGTATTCTGACAGACCCTGGAACCTTGAGATGATTAAATGAAATGCAGTTCTTTGAATATCAAGTGCGATTTAAAAAATCATGCTCTATTGTTCTGCAATAAACAATCCTGACAATATTGGACTGACTCTCCCATCTTTGGATTCGTTTAATTTGCATACATTTTAGGTAAATACTTTACAGTTCCGGTTTTTCGTTCTTCACGGGCGAAGTAGGCCTCCTGTCTAACCTCAGAACCCTGGTTACGCCACGATTTCCATTTTTTTCCCCCTACATATCACTATATTTTTTGTACCAAGCGCACACCTGTATCCATTATATGAAGAAAGATTGAAGAAAGAAAGATGACTCACGGATGATTGAGCAGAGATTGAGTCGATGTGGTAAAGTTTCATGGTAGTAGCAATGTGGATCTCAGGCGGTTGAAACGGAGGCAGTTCCTTGATGTACTTCTTGGGATTGGTCAACGTCTCTGCGAGGTTTACGGCAAGGAATTGAACGTTGAGAGACTCCGACGTCATGTTCGTGCCTTGCACGGTGGTTTCACCTTCGCCATTCGTGGCAATTGTGCTCTCCAAATCCTTTTCTCTCCGTGATCTACCTGGTGAACGTGCTCCTGGCTCCCCGCCCACTCTCTCTAAAAAACTGCAATACAAACGATGAGTTTCCACTAACGTGTGTAACGATCAAAGGATCGTGAACTGAGGAGAGCCATCGCGCAGAGCCGTACGCTCATTAATTGCCTTTGATTTTCCTGAAAGAGGAAGTTTAATTCTTGATACCTCTTTCGGTACGCCTTTACAATATCACGCCTTTACAATATCCACAATATCAGGAAGAAAGGTCTTCACAGTTCGTGAAGATACGACAATCAGCCATGGCGTTCAATCTAATCGAGAGGGGGAGGAGGAAAAAGAATTTCGAGATCTTTCTGCTTTCTCGTACGGAGGACTGTAGGCCTAACTACAGATCCAAAAACCCTTGCACAAAGCCTAAGTTCGGACACTATCTCGTACATCGTTAAAAAAAAAAAAAACGGTGTGTTCGGTGTGTTCTCCCTCAGTAACAGTTCTCTGCAGCGTGGAAAAGCTGTTTTTGAGGATGTCCTCGTAAATGTTTTGTTTTATAACAATTTATTTTATGGTGTCCGAACTTAGGTACTGTCCGAACTTGGTTGGTCCGAATGGTTTTACCCTAGTTAGGGCCCGATTAAGGGGGGGGGGGGGGGGGAGGGGGGGGGGGGAAAGGGGGGGGGCTGTC